TTTTTTTTTTTTTTTTTAATTTTTTTGGTCTTCTCGATTCCATCTTTGCACCGTCTCGTTCTGTTCTTCCTTTATTATTAATTTTTTTCGCTGAATATTTGTCTTTGGTTCTTTTGTGTTGGATCTCTTTATTAATGATATATTTCTCTTGCTTATGAGCAGGGTATTAATTAGGTTTATGGAGACTAGCATGAACAAGAATAAAGATAGAAAATTTAGAACTTTTGACGTGTTTTGCCTTTGATCTCTACATTTGAATCAAGAAACTTTTTTTCTTTTTCAGTACTATTGCTGGATTTTTGAATTAAGGTCTAAGTAATGTTTGGAAGCTTACTGCATTTACTGGATTTAACTAATGGGTTGGAGGTTTAGTATTGCAGTGAATCTTGTTTGCTTATGGTTATAGATCACTAATGGCTTTTGGTAGTTTAACTGAATATCAAGATTCCCTAAAAATGCAAAATCAAAGTGAGAAAAAGAATTGCAATTATAGACTTAAGAAAGAATTAATCTTCTTTTTTAGTTGAATTGTTTTTTAAGTTGAATGGTTTATATCGTTTACTTAATTGTAAATCGATTTTTGATCCATTCTTTTAGTTATTGTAGGACTACAAAATATTACTTTCTAATTAAAGTGGATTTTATATTCTATGAATAATTAAAAATACTTCAAAATTAAAATATGTAGTAACCATGTAAAATATGAAAATTGTGGAGTTCTTAATCCCATGCTTAATCGGCCTACCACTCCATTCAATCTTTACACAAATGATGATTTCATTTATTTTGATATGTCAACAATAATTTTATATGAAATATATTTAAAATACGAAATTATTCTTTTTGACTATTCAATGCTGAATTAGAAGTGAAAAGTCAAGGTGGAGGATCTCATAATTAAAGAACAATGAGGTTTTTTTTTTTTACAAGGGTAATAGTTTAAAAATTAGTATGAATTAGTTGTTAGCAATTGGTTATCAGACTTGATAAACATTCCACCCCCTCAAATGAGGCGCACGATCATCAGGTCACTTTTTGGTAGAATTTAAAGTTTCGATTATCCCACCCAAATACTTAAAACTTAGGATCGATCCATTGGATCTAAAAGCCTGGTTGAGAGAACAATGAGATTTGAAGAAGGAGGCAAAAGGGCCAAAAAAAAAAAAAAAAAAAAAAAAAAAGAAAGGGAAAAAGAATTTAATCACATAAAAAAAAATTTAAATCATGTGGCTAAAAGAAATGCTGTCTTGATTGTTTGGACTACGAATGTCACGTCAATTTATTTGACCATGGACGATGTCGTACCAGTTCAAAGGGAGCTGCTTTCGTCACTTATGACGCCGGCATGCCAGTTTTGGCAACTTGGTTATGTCCAAATTATCCATACTTTTTCCTAATACTATATTTTATTGGGTGTCCATGTGGGCATATGATCATTACCTAATATAAATAGGCACCAAAAGGAAAGCAGTTGCCTCATATTTACCCCTTCCTCTTCCTTAAAGTTTTGTTTTTGACAGACATCCTCATTCCCTGCATTCAATCTATTGCCCACAATGTTTTCTCCCAATAGGTAACTTCTTTATATGTTGAAGTTGTTATGCTTTAGTAATTGTATTCTTCCTTTTTCTTTTTTTAACTCAGTATAATTGATTATGGACTTAGGGATGCACCCATTGAATTACCTGGGAAGAAGCCCAGGTGCTCTTTCCTGAGTTTCTTTTTTCCACTTATATTTAGAATGAAGAATAAGTATTTCTATTAAAAAAAAAGAAGAATTGTTACTCTATTTATTTTTTCTCCAGGATTCTTCAGATGTGCTATGGTGATGAACTTATGAGAAGCATTGTGTTTTTATCTAAAATCTCCATTTCTTGCAGTGAAAATACCACTACAAAAATTGGCTTAAAGTTTAGTTTCATTATATTTGGCCTACTAATAAATTTTGCTTTATGATTTTGCTTTGTAGGCTGGGCGAGTTCTTTTCTACTGACATAACAGTCATATTGGGGTTGCTACTAACGGGCTTCACTCCTTTACTACAATACCCAGTCATCTCTCCGCCCTTGCATTCTTTTGCATTGTCTACCTATTGCGTAATGATGATGTTGTGCACTATAGCACTAATTGTCAATGTCAGGTTCCAAAGAGCTGGTTCCAACCCTCGCACACAC